ACACCCTATCATAAGTAAAGAACAAAAAACATGAATTATCTCAATAGGTACAGAGAAAGCATTGACAAAATCCAACACCCTTTCATGATAAAAGCATTTGACAAGCCAGGCGCCTGTAATCCTAGCACTTTGGAGGTGAGGCGGGCGGATTGCTCAAGGTCAGGAGTTCGAAACCAGCCTGAGCGAGACCCCGTCTCTACCAAAATAGAAAGAAATTAATTGACCAACTAAAATATATATATACAAAAAATTAGCCGGGCATGGTGGCACATGCCTGTAGTCCCAGCTACGCGGGAGGCTGAGGCAGCAGGATAGCTGAGCCCAGGAGATTGAGGTTGCTGTGAGCCAGGCTGACGCCACGGCACTCACTCTAGCCTGGGAACAAAGTGAGACTCTGCTCAAAAAAAAAAAGCATTTGACAAAGTAGGAATAGAAAGGAACTTTTTCAATGTGATAATGAACAGCTAAGAAAAACTGTTTTTAGGCTGTGTGTGGTAGCTCAAGCCTGGAATCCTAGCAATTTGGGAGGCCGAGACAGGAGGATCACCTGAGGCCAGGAGTTTGAGACCAGCCTGAGCAATAGCAAGATCCGTGTCTTCTATTGCTAATAGAAAAATTAGCCAGGCTACTTGGAAGGCTGAGGCAGGAGGACTGCTTGACTCCAGGAATTTGAGGTTGCAGTGAGCTATGATGAGGCCACTGCCCTCCAGCCTGGGCAACAAAGCAAGACCCCGTCTCAGATTGTCTCAAAAAAAAAAAGGAAAGAAAAAAATGACTACAGTCAAAGCTGAAAGCTGGCCCAGGGGCCATTATTTTTCAGTTTACACAAATACTTCCCACTATTTCATGCCCAGTTCAACTAGTACCTTTTAACCATTTCAATTTCAGTCCTTTTAAATTCACAGTTACGTGCATGCATTGGGTGATGCTAAACAATGATAGAGTCCATGCCTAGATGAAGACTCTCACACACACGAAATAAGATAATTAACACCACAATTCACAATTGCAAAGTTGTGGAAACAACCCAAGTGCCCACCAATACATGAGTGGATTAATAAAATGTGGTATATGTATACCATGGAGTACTATTCAGCTTTAAGAAACAATGGTGATCTAGCACCTCTTGTATTATCCTGGATAGAGCTGGAACCCATTCTAGTAAGTGAAGTATCTCAAGAATGGAAAAACAAACACCACATGTACTCACCAGCAAATTGGTATTAATGGATCAACTCCTAAGTGGACATATAGGAATAACATTTATCGGGTGTCGGGCAGGTGGGAGGGGATGGGTATATACAAACATAATGAGTGAGATGTGCAACGTTTGGGAAATGGTCACGCTTGAAGCTGAGGGGCATGAGCAATATACGTAACCTTAACATTTGTACCCCCATAATATGCTGAAATTAAAGAAAAGGTAATAAGCGCCTATGAATTAGACGCTAAATAAGCACAGAAGAAAAGCTTAATAGGAGATAGATGCAGGGAGGTGGCAATCCGGGAAGGCTTCCGAGAGGAAATGACTTTTGAAGCTGCTTATAAAAGGATACACAGAGCTTTACAAAGAAGAGACCAGCCTACCTAAATCCCTCCCCTCACTGAACTTTAATAGTACGTATATTTTAGAACCGGTAGTAGAACATGTCTGAACCATACAGTTCATTCCTGTGGTTTAATCTAGTCTCCCCGGCGGGGCTGTCAGTCACTGCTGGAACGTAGAAACCAGATCTTGGTTGTATGTACAAAAGCGCCAGGCACAGCGTTGGGCAAGGAATAGGGCCAATTTATGCCAACTGAAACCACATGGTTGTAATTTCTGGGCATCACGGATAATTAAACAACTTTTGAAGTTTCGTAGGCTGTAACGTGCTTCTCAGCTACAGAGTGCCCCCAGCAGTCAAGTCCATGTGACCCACACACACTGGCCAATCCAATGCGCTTCCGTGCCACCATTTGATTTTAAAGCTGAACTGTAGTGGCATGCAAACTGATTCATTGTTTGTCTCAAGGTTTAGTACCCCACAGGGAGACTGGATAATAAGAGAGACAGTAGTTAGACTAATCTCGGAAGTGTGTGGTTTTGACGCAGATGGTGGACATCTGTGTGTCTTAAGGAATTCCCCAAGATTGCTGAAGGCCACTGGGCACAGGAAGGTCCCATAAAGAGGAAAGAATTAGTCTGGCACGAGGCCTGCGCAGAGAACGTCGAACCTGCGCTTCTGCGTCCTCTGACGATCAGTAGGCTGCCCCAGGCTCTTCACACCCTGTGGAAGCAGGTGTCCAGCCCGTAGCCCATCTCCCCCTGCTCCCCTCTCTGCTTCCCGAGTGACGAGGCGCAGGGTCCCCCACATCTCTATGGACGCTGTTAGTCTGACATGGATCAGAGACGTTGAACTGCTTATAACCATACATACGCAAGCAGTGAGGTCTCACCTCCAGGCCATCCCCCAGCCCGCTCGACGTCCTCTTTTGCTTAACTTTCTCGGACTTTCAGTGATATCGCCACACGTCCTCTCACGCATATCCGCGCTCGCCAGCGTAGTGGCATAGCTCCAGCATCAGCGACTCGCCCCGCCCCCGCCCGCATCAGAGCTGATATATCTCTCTTATCTTATTGATATGGTGTATCACACTAACTGATATTCAGATGTTGAACCAAAGTTGCATCCCTGGGATAAATTTCACTTGGTCATACTCTATGATTTCATTTCACATGTCGACGAATTTGGTTTGCTAGTACTTTGTGGAGGATTTTTGCACTTGTATTCATGAAGAATGTTGGTCTGTAGTTTTTTTTCTTGCGATATCTTTTTTGGTTTTGGTATCAGGATACTACTAGCCTTGTAGAATGAGTGGGGGAAATGTTCTCTCCCATCCATTTTTTGGAAGTTTGTGAGTATTAGCTGGGACTATAGGTGTGTGCCATGTGCCCAGCTAAAAAGATTCTGCTTTTGAGTGGCTAAGAAAGCTGGAGAGCTAGAATTGGGCAGAAATTTATTTATAAACAGTAAATGTAGCCGGAATTTAGACAAAGTAGATAACAACTGAGGATTAAACAGCAAAAAAAGTTTGTCGTGTTTTTTTTTTTTTTTAAGAGACAGGGTCTTGCTCTGTTGCCCAGGTTGGAGTGCAGTGGTGTTCACTGTAACCTTGAACTCCTGGGCTCTAGTGATCAAGTGATTCTCCTGCCTCAGCTTCCTGAGTAGCTGGGACTACAGGTTTACACCACCACGCCTGGCTAATTTTTTTTATTTTTTGTAGAGACAGAGTCTCGATCTTACTCAGCCTGATCTCAAACTCCTGGCCTCAAGCAATCCTCCTTCCTCGGCCTCCCAGAGTGCTAGGATTACAGGCATGAGCCACACACACCACCTGGCCTGTAGATACATTTTCTTGGCTTATGCTGTTTGTTTTTATTGGAATCAGTGGCCAACATTTTAAAATCAAGAAATTTCTCTAACACGCAAAACCTTGCCCACAGCCGGAACTCAAAGTACGCACGATAGTTTGCGCTGTGCGTTGACGATGAATCCGTTTTGCTCTTGTGTGATGAGGAAAGCTTTAAAGCACTGAAAGCTTGTTTTACTTTACAGGCAGCTTTAGGAAAATAACTATAATAACTCCTACCAAGGACTTGTTAAAAGGTCACAGATTGGTAGTAACTTATTAGCTGAACGTACACACTGCAACTGCAGAGATAAAAGTAAAAGCTTTTGGCTGTTGACTAAAGTTGATGCTCGGCTGTGGGCCTTCATATCACGGCTGTCGGCTAAAGTCGATGCTTGAGTTCATCTGTGGCTGTTGACTATAGTCAACGCTGGTACCAAAGTGGTTAATAAGAATGAGTGCAGCAAACTAGATGATAAATGACAACTGATACTTTGCTTCAGTATCAGGGAGATGATGGAGATTAGCAGGGGATGAGGACCTGGAAATTTTATTCTGAGTCTGAAGGAGGGAATTCAACCCCTGATAATGGTGCCATTCAAGTATGGTTGGCCACATCTTTTGATTTTTATATATTAATCTTATTGAATCTATATAATAACACTTTGGAATAAGTGATATTATTTCTGTTTTATGATTGATGAAGTGAAGGTTGAGGGAGATTAAGAAGCCAGGATTCTAACTTGGTTCTGCTTGCTTCCATAGCCTTGTTCTGTTCAGGACTCCAAGCTGCGTCTTAATTCATAATCACCAGTGTCATTTTTCTGCTTCAGACATTACCTCTATGCTGATGATTCCCAAATCTGTGTCTTCATTCTAGATTTTGCTCCTGGGCTCCTGACCTGTTTATCCATCAGCTTCCTGGACATTTCCTCCCGGATGCCCCACAGGTACCTCAAACATAACATGTCTGAAATGGAATTCATCACTTCCTCTCCCTCACCCCAACTCTTTTACTCCAACTACCCAACTTCATCAGCTCAAGTTAGAAATTTAGATGTCATCCTTAATGCCTACTTCTTTTTCCTTACCCCCTCTATCTAGGATAGCACCAATCCTGCCTGGTTTTGCTTCTTTTCTTTTCTTTTTTTTTAAGAGACAGGGTCTCACTCTATTGCCCAGGCTGGAGTACAGAGGTGTGATCATAGCTCACTGCAGCCTTGAACTCCTGGGCTCAAATGATCCTCCTGCCTCAGCCTCCCAAGTAGCTGGGACTACAGATGTACGCTACCATGCCTGGCTAATTTTTTCTATTTTAGTTGCCTGGCTAATTTCTTTCTATTTTTAGCAGAGACAGGGTCTCGCTCTTGCTGAGGCTGGTCTCAAACTCCTACCCTCAAGCAATCCTCCCGCCCCGGCCTCCTTGAGTGTTAGGATTACAGGTGTGAGCCACCACACCCAGCCTCTTGGTTTCTACTAGGAAGAGAAAGACAGACATAGTGTAGGCTCTGGGAGGGTCAAGGAACTGTCAATTTCCAGCTCCACAGATCGGGCTAGATATATTTCACCAAAGAGCAAAATCATCTTGTCTCTAAGAGTCAGAGCAACTGGGAATCTCTAAGCCAATCAAGCTCTTTAAAAACTTCTCTAGTTTTTTTTTATTTTTCAAGCTAAATTCAATGTATGGATACTAAGTTAGGAGACAGAGCCCTCACCCAGTGAGCCCAACTCTGCCCCCTTATCCAGCATCCGGTCCTGGTGGAGATCCCACTGAGCGCAGGCTGGGTGCCCAGCATGCTTTTGTGATCCTTTCACAGCCACTTCCTGTAGCATCTTGAATTCCTGAAACAAGTTCCTGCTCAATAACTACCCAATAGAGAGTCAATAGCAAATATTTATACCTTCCCTTCTCTTTTTAAATCTCTACAACTTCTCACATATGCTTGGTCTCAGCAGAAAATCTTGCCTCTCACTTTAAAAATGTGTGAGACCATGTGGTAAAATATCACCTCTCATTATCCTATTTTTGCAATGATTCTTCATCCTCACTTTATTTCCTCTCCTCCATTCTCTTTTATTATTTCACTGAGCCCCTACTAGGGCCAGGCAGTATACCAGGTGGTTAGAATACAATAATGAAGCTTCCCCGATCTCCTGGGATTCCCTAAAGTCACGCCCTTCTCTTCTCCCCTTTGGCCCGTCTTCTTTCATTCAGGATTGCCCCTCCCCACCTGGCTATTGGGTTGGCCAGCGCGCTTGCTATACGTCATTCATCCGCGCCACCCGGAAGCCAGCGCAATTGATACCAACCGTTCTTTTTGCCGGCTCTAAGGAGCCTATGATGGCGACTCCCCCTAAACTGCGGGCGGTGGAGGCCACGGGGGAGAAACTGATGCGCTACGAGACCTTCATCAGTGATGTGCTGCAGCGGGACTTGCGAACGGTGCTGGACCATCGAGACAAGGTATATGAGCAGCTGGCCAAATACCTTCAACTGAGAAATGTCATTGAGCGACTCCAGGAAGCTAAGCACTCGGAGTTATATTTGCAGGTGGATTTGGGCTGTAACTTCTTCGTTGACACAGTGGTCCCAGATACTTCACGCATCTACGTGGCACTGGGATATGGTTTTTTCCTGGAGTTGACGCTGGCAGAAGCTCTTAAGTTCATTGATCGTAAGAGCTCTCTCCTCACAGAGCTCAGCAACAGCCTCACCAAGGACTCCATGAATATCAAAGCCCATATCCACATGTTGCTAGAGGGGCTTAGAGAACTACAAGGCCTACAGAATTTCCTAGAGAAGCCTCATCATTGACTTCTTCCTCCATTCTCCAACATTAAAGAGCGTGAATGCCTTTGAAAAAAAAAAAATACAATAATGATGACAGAGTCCCTGTCCTTGAAGTGGCGATTACAGACAGTATCAATTAGGTGGGTTAAGTGCTCAGTAAGAGTAAGCATAGGGTGCTGTGGAACCTCACAGAAACAGCATGATCTCGAAGGGATGGGATAAATGTGGAAATTTTCTTGAAGGAGGTAGTTTCTAAACTGAGTCCTAAAAGGCAACTTGAAATAACTAGACTAAAAAAAAAGAAGGGCTTTTCAGATTGAGGCTATAGCATGTAGGAAGGCCAGGAGGTGACAGAACGAACCTATGATGCATTTATGGCTGCAGCATATGACTGAAACCCAGAGTTCAAGATTATAAAAGATGAAGCTGGTGCAGTAATGGTCAAATCAGGGAGGGTCTTGTAAACCAGGCTAAGAGGTTGAGACTTTCTCACGAATGCAAAGAGGAACCAGTAAAGGGGTTAAAGCAGGAGAATGACATAATCTGACTTATTTTTTTTTTAAAGACTGTTTTGACTGCATTATGGAAAACAGACTGGAGGGTCAGCTGAAAACTGAGATATCAGTTATGAAACTACAGCAGTAATCTTATCAGCATATAAGATCTATTATCTAGCTATTATTGCTAGTTGAGATACAAAGAAGTAAACTGATTTACTTGATTTATTCACCTAACAATTCAATATATATAAATAAATTAATAAATAAATATATAAATCAATATATTAAGGAAGGTAAACCAGGCCGGGCATGGTGGCTCATACCTATAATTCCAGCACTTTCAGAGGTTGTGGTGGGAGGATCACTTTAGTTAAGGAGTTTGAGACCAGCCTGGGCAACATAGCGAGACCCCATGTCTACAAAAAAAAAAAAAATTAGCTGGGCATGGTGGCACATGCCTGTAGTCCTAGGCAACAGAGTGAGACTCTATCTCAAAAAGAAAAGAAAAAGAAACTAAGAGATGACCAAAACTGACCTCATCTTCAAACCTTCAAATTTACTCTTCCTCCTCTGACCCTATCTTCATTAACAGCACCCTGTCCCACCCATTGCCTACATCAGAAAACTAAGTCATTCTTGATTCCTGTCTTCCCCCACTTGCAGTTACCATGGTCTGTTGACTCTAGGTTCTCCTATAGCAGATAGTGCTGACCTCATTCGTAGTACTAGTCACACTATCTTGTTATTAACCATTTACACATATATCTCTCCTCTATTAAATTGTAAGTTCCCAGAGGGCTGGGACCATATCTTATGTTCATGTTTGTATTCCCAGTATCTAGTACAATGTCTGGAACATGGTAGGTGCTCGCTTAATGTTTGTTAGGTTTTTCAGACAGAAGAGTCCTTCTAGCACAATTTTCAAATAATTTTTTGTTTTCCTTTTCTAGAACCCTTACTCCTCTTCTTATATTGTCTTCTCTTTATTTTAGATCTAAAATGAAATGAAATAACTTTGTATCTGTATCAGTCAGGATCCAGTGCTGGGTAGTGGAAAACACACTGGGCCAGAGCTGGTCCACAGGAAGCCATCAAACCTCCCATATATTGATATGGTGGCTCCACCAAAAACGAACAGCTCACCAGTACCAGGAAGAGAAGCCCTTTGTCTCGGTAAGACCTTACAGTGCTCCTCCAGTGCCCTTTATTGACAAAGCCAGCTAGCAAAAGAGAAATATTTACGGGTCCTGTTCCAGTATCACAAGTAGGGCAAAGAAGACAAAAAGAGTACATTAATGTGATTACACTGTTATATTAGAAAAAAATATATGAATATATACCCAGAAATAAGTATGGAAGAACATACACCGATACAACAAAACACTAGCGGGGGTTATCTTTGGGTGGTAGATGATGAGATTATAGGTAATTGTTATTTTCTTCTCTGTGCTTTATTTTTTATTTTCCCTATAATAAGAATGTAGAATTTTTGTGATAAACAAAAACTGTTATAGAAAAAGTGTTAGATACTTCCTCTAAAATTATGATTAAAAAGGTTATGAAAACATTAAGGATTTGGAGTCATTTTAAAAATTACACATTTCTATTTTAGATAGTATCTGTTGAGTCCCTCATGAAAGATAAATTAGCTCAATTTCTACTTACTCCTACTACCTCTCCTCCTCACAATTTTTGTAATATAATTATTTTTACATTGTCATGGTTTAAAGCATTTATTCTCTGTTCTACAACCATAATTTCCAATTGTTTAACCTTAGTTCTACATTTAAATCGATGCAGTGTTTACCATCTGTGAATATTGTGAAATACATAGTTGGTCTTTGTCCCCATTTCCTGGCATACAACTCCTAAAATCCTTGGAATCTCCAAAGTGATATTTTCTGTATGCTAATGAGTTGACTGGTGGCTGGGGACCCCTAGGTAGCTTCAAGATGGGAGCTGATCACCCTTAAGATCAAGGCAGGATCAGAGGGTTGGGACTTTCAGCCCTCCTCCCAACCTCTGGAGAGGGAAGAAGGGCTGAAGGTTAAATTGCTCACCAATGGCCAATGGTTTAATTAATTATGCATAACGAAGCCTCCATCAAAACCCAGAAAGACATCAAAACCCAGAAAGGGTATGGAGAGCTTCTGGATAGCTGAACACATGGAGGTTCCTGGAGAGTGGCACATCAAAAGAGGGCATGGAAGCTCCACACCCCTTGCCACATTCCTTGCGCTATGCACCTCTTTATCTGTATCCTTTGTAATATCCCTCATAGTGAACCGGTAAATGTGTTTCCCTAAGTTCTGTGAGCCACTCTGGCAAACTAATTAAACTCAAGGAGGGGTTCATGGGAACCTCGGTTTATAGCTGGTCCATCAGAAGCAGCATGCAATAACCTGCAACTTGCTATTGGCATCAGAAGTGGTGCTTGGGGGGCAGTCTTGGGGACTGAGCCCTCAACTTGTGGGATCTGACACTATCTCTAGGTAGATAGTGTTTAAATTGAGTTGGAGGACATCTAGGTGGCATTAACTACAGCACTGCACTGATTGTTTGCTTGGTGTGTGGGGAAAAACCCACACGTTTGGTCACAGAAGTCTTATGTATTATGATGTAAGAGCAGAGGAAAATGTTTGTTTTTTCCTCAGACCATCCATTCTTTTATAATGTCCTGTCAATTTCCTGAGTGTTCATTTTAATTCACTTCTTCATTGTCTATTCTCATTGCAATACTTCTTTTCAAAAAGGACTCATGAGTGTCATAGTACCTGAGTTTCATAGGCCTGAAAATGTTTGCCTGTTGCTTTTAATATGAGGAAACACTCTGCTGGGTAAAAAAAAAAAGTATCAGCTCACCCTTGTTTTTCCTCAGAACTTTAAGGCATTACTATATTCTGGTGTGGAGTGTAACTATGGGGAAGAGTAAAGTCAACCTGAAATTCTCTGTTGCATATTACTTCCTTTTCTGCCTAGATGCCCATTTGGTTCATTGATTCCTGAAATTTAGTTACTTCACAGTTTATGTCTTGGTTTGATTCTTATATATCAACTTTTTATGAGCTACAGTATGCCCTTCCAGTAGATTAAAATCTTTATTTCAGCAACATTTTCTTCTATTACATATTGTACTTTTTTCCTGTTTGTTCTTTCCTCTCTCTCTTTTTCTGTTTTTGTTTTCTTTCTTTGTTTTTGTTTTATTTTGTTTTTTATTTTGAGATGGTATATTGCTTTGTTGCTGGGCTAGTGTACAGTGTGTACAGTGGCATCATCATAGTTCACTGTGGCCTCAAATTCTTGTGCTCAAGTGATCCTCCTACCTCAGCCTCCCAAGTAGTTGGACTACAGGCCCGCATCACACCCAGCTGATTTTTCTATTTTTTGTACAGATGGGGTCTCACTATGTTGCTTAGGCTGGTTTTGAACTCCTGACCTCAAGTGATTCTCCCATATTGGCTTCTCAAAGTGCTGGAATTACAGACATGAGCCACCATGCCCGGCCTCTTTTCTCTTTAGGAACACTAATTATATGTATTTGATTATCTTTCTGTAGCTACTGGTTTTCTCTGTAATCACATTTATATCCATTTCATTTTGTATGATTTCTCTAGGACTGTGACCTTGTAGTGATTATTTGTGTTGTGTCTTACATGAAATTTCAGGTACATAATGCTTTTCATTTGCTCTTCCATTTCTTTCCTTAGTTCTGCCAAATTATTTCTCACTTCTTTTTATTGTTTTATAATCTATATGTTTTAAACCCTTGTATCTCTTCTTTAAGCTTTTAAGAGTGATTTTTGTCTATAATTTCTTTGAGATAATGGGGACTCTTGGCTGAATGCTTCCTATTAACTCCTTTGTGTTCCTCATGGATGTATGTTTTATTCTGTTGCTCATGTTTTCTTCTTTCTTTTTAAAAATATTATTTTCAACCATATGTCCCACAGATTTATCTTAATGACTGCTGCTCAACAATGAATGAAGCAGGCTGTCTATTAAAAAGTACTATGAGTTCTCTAGATTTTGCCCTCATTCTGACACACACAAAAAAATAAAGATAAATAAATTTTTTAAAAAATATGAAATATAAAAAAAAATAAAAAGTACTATGAGGCCAGGCGCGGTGGCTCACGCCTGTAATCCTAGCACTCTGGGAGGCCGAGGCGGGCAGATTGCTCGAGGTCAGGAGTTCAAAACCAGCCTGAGCAAGAGCGAGACCCCATCTCTACTATAAATGGAAAGAAATTAATTGGCCAACTAATATATATAGAAAAAAATTAGCCGGGCATGGTGGCGCATGCCTGTAGTCCCAGCTACTCGGGAGGCTGAGGAAGGAGGACTGATTGAGCCCAGGAGTTTGAGGTTGCTGTGAGCTAGGCTGATACCACGGCACTCACTCTAGCCTGGGCAAGAAAGCGAGACTCTGTCTCAAAAAAAAAAAAAAAGTACTATGAGAAGAGGCAGAGGAAATTGAGCCAGGGTACTTCAAACCTTTCCAGGGTACTTCAAAACCTTCATATACACATGCTGCCACAAACACCCTCTCATCAAATATAGAAGAATATCTTCCTTTATCTTTTTGTTTCCAAGAGATCAGTATGACACAATAAAACCTTTGGATCATAAGTTCTTTGTAATAAAATTTGACAGCCTTTAGCATCTTTTAAATAATAAACTGTTTCTGAATTTTGAACAACATATATCATACAAACCACAAAAAAAAGCACTTTAAGGGAAAATTATGACAAAGCCAATTTTTCCAAGTAGTTGATTTGAATGTTATTTAAATGAAATCCAGCATGGATAAGGAGGTTTGTGCCAGCGACAGATTACTTAATAACTCTTGAGCTTCAAGGGTAAAAATTAATAATAACAACAGCAAATGACACTTATATAGTGCTTTCTATATGCCAAGCATTGGTCTAAATGTTTTACATATGTTTATATATATTTTATTCTCATAACAACTCTATGAGTTAAATACTATTAATATTTCTATTTTATATATGAAGAAACTGAGGCACTGAGAACTCCAGTGACTTGACTGAGGTCACGCAGTCCTTAAACAGTGGAGCCAGGACTCAAACCCAGGCAGTTTGCCCTGTAGTCCATGCTGTTAATCACTATGCTGTGTGGCCACTCATTCATTGTGAGAAAATTACTGACTAGAGAGTGCCTATTAGCAGGACCGAAGTGAGATCACTTTCCCAAGGAGTTCAGAAATGTGTTTTTATGATTGGGCAAGGTCAGGGATTTGGCAATATGGACACCTAAAAGCAATACTCTCATCTATCTTCCAATTGCAGGAGAGGATATAAAATTATGATAAAAAAAAAGGAGGCAATTCCACCAGAATACCAGAAGAGAAAGGTCTGCAGCTGACCCTGTAAACATTTCTGCTTTGCCAGCTGGCATAAGATTTAGACTTTTTCAATAGATGATACTGGAGGGATAGTGTATAGCCATAGGAAGAGAAAAGAATTCTTTTCCTAGTACCAGTACACTGGTCTTTATTTATTTTTATTTTGGTTATTTATTTATTGGAAAAGCTGCTAGCAGATCAACTTGTGGGAAGCCTTCACTATAGGGGGCTGCTTCCTATGAACCAGTTCTGGCCAAGCCACAATATCCAACAAGTTCCTCCCCTATCCAACAGGCCACTTCCTATGAACCAGCTCCAGACTGCCCACTTCCTCCAGTGAATTAATCCACCATCCTTCATGCCTAGTAAGTTTCCTCCCCACCAACAGGGTATGTGGTAGCACAGGTTCCTCTCTAATAAGGTATGAATCTTAGCTCTGGTGGGGAAGTGTTCTCTTCTAAGTTCTTTGTTCCTCCCTCTTAGACTCTCCAGTACAGTGAAGAAGTAATATTTAAAAATAAAAGAAAAAAACAAAAAAAAAACAAAGAAAAGAAAAAAAAAAGAAGTAATATTTGTATTTTAGGAATTATTGAGTGATATACTTATCATTTCAGATTCTGAGACCAGGAATAAGATGAAGGAATGGAAGTCAAAGATGGAAATTTCTGAAGAAAAAGATTTAGCAAGGACAGCAACAGAAAGACTCCAAAGACACATCTCCCAGGAATGTGAGTTAGTTGAAACCAGTGATCCTGAGGACAAGTTATTGAGACATTGGGTAAGCCCCTTAAAGGATGCAGTGAGCCATCTCCCTTCCCAACAGAGAGGTATCAGTGAAATTAATCTCATCCCCAAGAAAGCTACTACAGGAAAGAGAGGCCATGGATCTAATGAAACAGAAAAAATACTTCCTGCAAGAGAAAGATCCCATAGATATGTGGTCTGTGGACAAAGCTTCAAACAGAAGTCAGGATTAAATGAACATCAGAAAGTGCATAATATAAATAAGACCTATGAATGTAAGGAATGTGGAAAAACCTTCAGTCGGAGCTCAAACCTGATCATACATCAGAGAATTCATACAGGAAAGAAACCATATGTATGTAATGAATGTGGAAAAAATTTTAATCAAAGTTCAAATCTTATTATACACCAGAGAATTCATACAGGAAAGAAACCTTATACATGTCAGGAATGTGGAAAAGACTTCAATCAAAGTTCTAACCTGGTTAGACATAAGAGAATTCACAGTGGTGAGAATCCCTATGAATGTAAAGAGTGTGGAAAGGCCTTTAAGGGAAGCTCAAACCTTGTCCTACACCAGAGAATCCACAGTGGAGGGAAGCCATATGTATGCAATGAATGTGGGAAGGCCTTCAATCAAAGCTCAGATCTTATTACACATCACAGAATTCACACTGGAGAGAAACCCTATGAATGTTATGACTGTGGACAAACATTCAGTCAAAGTTCACACCTTGTCACACATCAGAGAATTCATACTGGAGAGAAACCCTTCAAGTGTAATGAATGTGAAAAAGCCTTCAGGCAACGTTCTCGCCTTACTGAACACCAGAGACTCCACAGTGGAGAGAAACCCTATGAATGTCACGAATGTGGGAAATCCTTCAGTGGGCGCACAGCTTTTCTTAAACATCAGAGACTACATACTGGAAAGGAACTTGAATGTGAAAAAGCTTGCACTTCTGACTTAGAACTTATCAAACAACAGAAAATTCCTAGGGAAGAAAAACCTTATGAATGTACTGAGTGTGGAAAAACTTTTCGGGGAAGTTCAGACCTCATTCGGCACTGGATGATTCATACTGGAGAGAAACCCTATGAATGTAATGCATGTGGGAAAGCCTTTAGCCAGAGGTCACACCTTGTTACACACCAGAAGATTCATACTGGAGAGAAGCCTTATCAATGCAATGAATGTGGAAAAGCCTTCAGGCAACGTTCCCTTCTTACTCAACATCGGAGAATCCATAGTGGTGAAAAGCCCTATGAATGTAAGGAATGTGGAAAAGCCTTCATTTGGCGCACAGCTTTTCTCAAACATCAGAGACTTCATACTGGAGAGAAATTCGAAGAATGTGAGAAAACCTTCAGCAAGAATAAGGAGCTTAGGGAAGAGCAGAGAATTCACCAGGAAGAGAACACTTTTAGGTGTAATCAGTGTGGTAGAACTTTCCGAGGCAGCTCAGACCTCATCAGACATCAGGTAACTCATACAGGAGATAAACCATATGAATGTAAAGAATGTGGCAAAACTTTCAATCAGAGCTCAGACCTTATGAGACATCATAGAACTCACAGTGGAGAAAAACCTTATGTATGCACTAAATGTGGGAAATCTTTTAGGAGCAGCTCAGATCTTATTAAACACCATCGTGTTCATACTGGAGAGAAACCCTATAAATGCCCTGGATGTGGGAAGGCCTTCAGTCAGAACTCACACCTTATTAGTCATCAGAGAATTCACACCCGAGAGAAACCCTTTGAATGTAGCAACTGTGAGAAGTCCTTCAGTGGACACACAGCTTTTCTTAAACACCAGAAACTTCACACTGGAAAGAAATTTGAGGAATGTGAGAAAGTCTTCAAACAAGACTTATTCTAATAGGTATCACAAACCTAATGAATGTAGTAAAAGTAGGAAAACACCTGATGGAGACCACATCTTATTGCACTACAGAAAATTTTTATTGTTGGATAAACTATTTAAAGGTAGGAAAACACAGAAAAATCCTACTGGATAAAAAACATATAAATGTAATGAAGTGGAAAAGCAAAAAGCCCTTGGACATAGTCACCTTTTTTTTTCTGCCTCAGAGTTGATACTACAGTATGGCCCCCAAGGATATAACTACTTGAGAATGTTTTCAGGGATTTCTATCATTATTAAAAACATTACCAATCACTTTGGCAACAACCCCCAAACTAAATTCTTCATGGAAGAAGTCATTGCAAACTTGACTTCCTAGTCCAGTAACAAATATAAATCTGCTTTAAATACTATAGAGTTATTAAAATCTTTCTCTGGGATGAATTCTTCTTAAGTATATATTTTATACATAGTCCCCTTTCTTCTTCCTTACGAAAGTATGTTCATGCACCCATGATAATACAAATTACAATGATCTATGAATTGAGAAGAAACAATAAAAATGACGTGACTACAGGATAGCTGAAAGCAAGGATACAAGAGGAAAGTGAGGTGTTCCCCAGAGAAAGTGATAACCACAAGTAGTATCAGGAAATGGAAGATCAAGAGATAAGAGAACAGGAGGTATTGGGAACAGAATTAGACTGAGTGCCACAGCAAGCATTTAGGTGACATGAGTCAGGAATTAAAAGAAAGCTTCTCCTTTAAAAGGTCAGCTGATTAGAGAGAATGGTTTTACCTTGAACCAGGATAGTTTATTAGAGAATTAGAGAGTCTGAATAGAACTCTGGAGAGAAGCCAGTCATAATTTAATCTGGTAACTGATAATTGGTAATTAAGCCCTGCCAAGCCTATCTGTACAATCTGATACAGTCATAAAATATATACTCTGAATTAATGGCAGATTATATATTAATTTACATGAGTAATCAGATAAGAAAGTTACCAAATGGGACAATGTAAGACAAGCAGAATTTCAAACTCATATGTTTCCTCAGTGAGAGTACTTGTGAGATGCACAGAGGGGTTAAGTGGTTTTCAACTGGGATGATTTTTCCCCCTGGAGGACATGTGGCAATGTCTTGAGCTATTTTGGTTTTCACAACTGGGAGGAGTCTACTGGCCTCTAATGACCAAAGATGTTGCTAAATATCTTACCACTCACAATCCTCTACAACAAACAATTATGTGGCCCTTGTGTCAATAGTGCCACAGTTGAGAAACCTTGCTGATAGATATTTAGAATACCAGGGGGCCATTTAAGCAAGCATTTCAGTGTGATGTGGGCAGTGTCAGCACATCCCAAAAGGAATCTAGAATCTAACAGAAAGCCTTAGTTTGATGATCTTCAAGAGGCAATATGGTGTGATGCAAGGAGCACAGACTTCAGAAACAACCAGTCATGGGTTTGAGTCCATATGTATACGCGCAATATGTATTGGCCCTGGAGTAAACTACTTACCCTCTCTGATCCTTATTTTCCTCATTGATAAAATGGTGATAAAATAATCTACCTCGTAGGGTAACTGTGAAGTTTAAATGAGAAAACCAGAACTTACTGTTGACACATCAAAGGGCAGCTAGAGCTTTAACTGTTTTTAAACAAAAGAGGAAGTATTTACAAGCAAAATATAAGATGTATAACATAGAGTGGTGTCTTGTGGCGTAAAGAATAGAACCTAGTTCTAAGCACTGGGGGCTACAAGGGGTTCTGGCTTCTCCAGAGTGGCACTGGAACAGTAGTGGAATGTCTTCTTATTTGAGACGGGGTCTTGCTCTTGCTCAGGCTGGTCTCCAACTCCTGAGCTCAAACAATCTGCCTGCCTGGGACTACTAGAGTGCTAGGATTGCAGGTGTGAAGTAGTGGGATGTCTTAAAGTGGAAAAGATCACTCTCACACCATTCTTGAAAGCTGACTGCTTGTAAGTGATATGGTGCAGGAGCTCCAGAAGCCTGTCAACCCCCATCACCTAACTCAAAGGTTTAGCTCTTTAGTAATCTCACATAAACTCATAATCTTTTTAAGTGAGATCTTTACATATATTTGGGGAGCAAAAGGAATTCAAAATAGTTATCAGTGATAACACTTGGCTGAAAAATAAAAGATAATTAACATTTTTGAGTTACCCCAGATTATAACGAATCAAAACCTTTGGCTAGCTAGAACATTTCAGTATTCCAATTTAGGAAAGAAAGGAATTGGGAATTTATTCCAAAAAGCCTATCTCTAATTCCTTTACCTGTCTTTACAGTGCTGTACAGTGAGAGTTGATGTTTATAAGGATAAGCAGGATACTTAGAGGGACTTGAAGGTAATTTAATGAAATGGTTTGCAATTTATTAAACACCAGGGCCCTCTTTTTTACTCCCGTGTCTTGTAATTTTAAGTAATTATGCTTACCAAACTTCATCTATTAAAAAGAATAATTAGCTCATTTTTTTGCTATTCAGATGCATGTATTGGCATGACATAACCAGACTTAGGTACTAACATTCCAGCCAAAAGCAAACAACGTTTTCATTAGTCTTATTACTCTTTTGTGGGAAAATATATAATTTGCCTTGGGCTTTTTGAAATATTAACTATTACTTGAAGATCTCAGATTGAAAACTGTTTCATTCCTGGTGGAGCTTGAATCAAACTGAGGGTATTGGATTTTTGAAAGCAGAGGGAAATTTTTGTTACAATGTGGAAATGTTTTCAACTGTGAATGTTGAAATAAAAGTTATTCAAGAAATACTGATTGACTGCTTAATATGGGCCAGGGGCCATAGTTACATGTGGCTAAAGAAAGATAGTCATTGTTCTTGGAGAAATTTATAGTCCAGTGGGGGATAAGGAAGCCCCCACTGAAACAGGAGTTAATATTCAGATAAGCAGACAATTCATGAAATGAAAGCTTTGATGGGTAGCAGAAGTTAAGATACAGTGTCCAATTTGTAAACATGATTTTTGCAGAATAGGGTCTACCTGTTAGAGAGCAACCTACTTTAGGACTTTGAGAAAAGTCCCTGAAGGATAAGTCTGTGTTCATGAGACTTTAAGTAGCTAAGGAACCAAACTCTAAGAGAGCCAAAACTGAGAGAAAATCAGACTCTGATAATCTCCTTGAGGAACAGGGGTGACTGGAATGTGGGTTAGGAGAGGTTTCTTCATATAAACATTTCATGGGATACAAGACGATTACTGCCAACCTTGGGAGAGAGAATGTGTGAGTATGGTAGAGGAAGTGAATGTTATCCAATAATCTGTCGATTTAGCCCACTTTTCTTGATTTTTGATGCCCTTAGAGTGAGGCCACCATCATCCCTTGCTTGTACTATTACCACAGCCTCCTAACATGCCTCCCTGCTTCCAACCCTTCTCTTACAGGGTAGCCTGAATGATCATTAGAACAAATCTGACAGTGCCACCCACCACCCACTCTCTAAACTTCCACAATGGTTTCCTGAAGCCTAATAACTTCAGCCTGAAGTCGAAAGTCCTTTTATTTTTTACTTTATTTTTTTTTTATTTATTTATTTTTTTGAGACAGAGTCTCACTCTGTTGCCCGGGCTAGAGTGCCGTGGAGTCAGCCCCTAGTTCACAGCAACCTCAAACTCCTGGGCTCAAGCCATCCTCCTGCCTCAGCCTCATGAGTAACTGGGACTACAGGCATGTGCCACCATGCCCGGCTAATTTGTTGCTATATATTTTTAGTTGTCCAGCTAATTTCTTTGTATTTTTAGTAGAGATGGGATCTTGCTCTTGCTCAGGCTGGTCTCAAACTCCTGACCTCAAGTTATCCTCCTGCCTCAGCCTCTCAGAGTGCTAGGATTACAGGTGTCAGCCACTGCGCCTGGCCAAAAATCCTTAATGTCACATATGTATTCTCTTCTGGCCTCATGTATCCACTTATTCCATAAATATTTATGGAGATTTTAATATGTGTCAGGCACTGAGTGCTACAAAGTGGAGTGAGCATAGACAACAGTCTCTGCCCTGCTGGAACTTATACTAGTAGAGGAGAGACTAATTAATAGAATCATTAATGAAATTACAATGATAAGTGCCAGAAAGGAGAGGAATATGATACTACATTGGGTGTCTGAGCTAGCTGGGGAAGGGCTTTCTGCAAAGTGCTTACTTTTCCTAATACATGAATATTTGCCCCTGATCTCTGCAGTTCTCCAAGGACCTAGGCACCACCCTCTTGCTCTATGGCCTTTCCACGTACTGTTCCCTCTGTCAGGAATGCTCCCTCCTTACTTAGCTCCATTATTGTTCAGTATTTCCTGTGTGTTGGATCCTGTTATAAGCACTAAACACCCATTTTCTCTTGTATTCTCTACTTCGATCTTAATTGGTAGGTGCTACTGTTAACCCTGTTCTATAAGTAGGAAACTAAGGCCCAGAAAGGCAAAGTAATTTGCCCAAAGACCCGCAACTAGTAAGTGAGGAAACTAATTCAAATCCAGACCTGCCCGCCCGCCCGCAAAGCAGTCAGTCTTAGCGCTGCAGTCTTGCATCTCCCGATTCTGTCAGGTTCAGGCCTCACGTATCTCATCGCCTTCCCTGACATACACCCAGTCGGGGCCTGGTGCTCCCACAGGCCACAGCCATCATAGCACAAGAACTGTAACGTACCTGTCGCTCACCCCGGCTAGACTCAGCTCTTCCTGGACAGGGACTGGTCTTTCTCAGCTTGGCCGGCTCAGCGACTCCAGGTAAAAGCCCGCGCCTCAGACATCAGCCGGAAGTGCCCCCCTTTCCCGCTTGTCTAGGAAGAGGGGAGGACTCCACTCGGTGGCTATTCCTCACTGTAGCTCCTGGACATAGGAAAGGGCGGGAAGTCCTCGTGGTGCGCATCTCCCAGGGCCTCCTGCGGGTCCTCGTGACTAGTTGGGGTAGAGGCACAATGGGTGCGGCCGCCGAGGTAGCGCTGAGGGGGAGACTGAGGACGAGCACCCACACCGGCCGTGCGTGCGGAGCTCGGTGCCCGGGTCCACGGGTCTGGCCAAGCCTCTAGGTGCCTGGTCTGGCCTGGTCCCTGTGCCTTGCGCGGTCCTGGCCCTGCAGCTTTGAGGCCCTGAGGCGCCACCCCAGGCAGGTGGCTCTCCCTAGCCTGGCCCTTCGAGAACAGGTATTTCAGTGGGACGGTCAGGCACTGACCCCAGGAGGACTACCAGTCCACGCACAAGGTTGAAAGGACGGCCTTGCAAAGATAACAGAAAAATATCTAATCGCACAATTTCCCCAAATAACAGCTCAAGATCAACCCTGTGAGCGCTCTCGCTAACAGCCACCTCGTGGGGAGCTGTTTCTCAGAACAACGGGAAAAAGCTGAACACACGGAAAAGAAATGTAAACCTTTCTCTTTTAAAACTGCTTTTGAGGCCGGGCGCGGTGGCTCACGCCTGTAATCCTAGCTCTTGGGAGGCCGAGGCGGGCGGATTGCTCAAGGTCAGGAGTTCAAAACCAGCCTGAGCAAGAGCGAAACCCTGTCTCTACTATAAATAGAAAGAAATTAATTGGCCAACTGATATATATAAAAAATTAGCCGGGCATGGTGGCTCATGCCTGTAGTCCCAGCTACTCGGGAGGCTGAGGCAGAAGGATCGCTGGAGCCCAGGAGTTTGAGGTTGCTGTGAGCTAGGCTAACGCCACAGCACTCACTCTAGCCTGGACAACAAAGTGAGACTCTGGCTCAAAAAATAAATAAATAAATAAAACTGCTTTTGAAAGGCTGCTTGTTACAGTCTTGGAGTTCCTGAGTGAACAGCAGGGTGCGAACTTCAGGTCTCAGCCGTATCTGGAGGGCAGAGGAGACACATCTCGAGCGATAATCCCGTCCACGGAAAGGCCCTGGAGCCTACTCTGACATCCCACTCCCGCTTCTGTTACAAATCTGCCACTAAGAGAAGAAAGTGTCAGTGCAGCAGTTCGCAGTGCCCTGTTCATTTGGCTACAGCCATAAACCATAAACCTTTACATCCCCTAAATTAAAACCCTGAATACCTGGTGCTCTTTGCCAACATTCTTTACCTCCTTCACTTCTGTGTTGGCCCCTTTTCTGCCGATAAACAACTATCTATCCTAATCCTCGTCTGGAGAAATGTTTCCAAAAACCCGCACTCACTAAAACACACACCTGTAACAACGCCGATCTCTGTCAGCAGAGCAGAGTGCAGGACTGTGAAGAAGAATGGAGCTTGCTGGGTAGGGAGCTGACTCAAAAGTTATTCATGGTGACCTTCTGACCTTCACAAAACGAAATTTCTCCTGGAATGGATGAGGGTCAGGGTGGTGGCTTCTTGAGTTGTGAGCAGGCATCACAGACAAATTCCTCTGGGATACAGAACTGCCTCTGTTCCCTGTTTTGAAATAATTCCTCAAAAAAAAAATCAGAGGCTCACTGGCCAAGTCCCTTTCCTCTACCCACCCCCATCACCCGCCGCCCCACCCCAAAAAGATGCCTCTAGCAAATAAGATGAGACATCCTGATGCCTTGCTGGTTCCTTCCAGGACTTTTAGCTTTACCTTTTGGACATGGGATCCTACTGCCTAAAGCCTCTTCTTTTCACTTGACCCCACAGTTCTCTGTCTTAGCTCAGGCTGCCGTAGCAAAATACCATAGACTAGATAGAAAACAACAGAAATTTACTTCCTCACCGTGAGGAAATAAGTTTTGAAGGCTGAAATCTGTAATCAGGGTGCCAGCTTGGTCAGGCTCTGATGAGAGTGCCCTGGTCACCTTCTGTGTCCTCACATGATAGGGAGAGACTCTAAGCTCTCTGGTGTCTCTTCTGATAGGACACTAATCACATCATGAGAGCCCTGCCCTCATGACATCATCTAAACTAATTACCAAAGGCTCCATCTCCAACTATCATCACATTGGGAGTTAGGGCTACAACCTATGAAAATTTTGGAGTCACATAGTTCATTCAGTCCATAGTGTTCCCTTCTTTTTATTTCATTTTCATTTTTAAAGACTTTATTTTTTAGAACAGTTTTAGGCTCACAGCAAAATTGTGAGGAAAGTACAGAAATTTCCCATATACCCCTGGCCCCACACATCCATAGCCTCCCCCATTATATCATCCCCACCAGAGTGGTGCGTTTGTTACAACTGATGGGCACATCATAGTCACCCAAAGTCCATAGTTTACATTAGGGTTCATTTTTGGTATTGTACATTCTGTGGGTTTGAAAAACTGTATGACATATATCCACCAGTATACTATCAGAGTGGTTTCTGCCCTAAAAATTCAGTGTGTCTCTTCTTTTTGCACGTGGGACTGAAGTGTTATATGAAATCAACCTCAGTTGGAATCTGTGCCTAGTGCACTTAGGCTTAGCAGTGGTGGAGGGGTTAGGGGGTGGCAGCTGGCTATGGCAAGAGCCTAGTCTATTAATAGTCAATCAAAGCTGGCATGGTGGCTCACGTCTGTAATCCTAGCACTCTGGGAGGCCAAGGCGGGAGGACTGCTTGAGCTCAGGAGTTCAAGACCAGCCTGAGCAAGAGCGAGACCCCGTCTCTACCAAAAATAGAAAAAAGTAGCCAGTCAACTATTTCAATTTAAAATTTAAAAAGTAGTTAATCAAGAGATTATTATTAATTAATATCAGTAGTTGATTTTTCAGTCAGTTATCTGGGACTGACTTTATTTTCTCCTTCTGCTTCTACCTTTCCCATTTTTCATGCTTTTCAATATATATCCTCCCCCTTCCTCCTATTCCCTATACTGTGATTGGA